ACCTCCTTTGTCTTACTCACATTGAGGGATAGGTTGTTAGTGCCACACCATTCAGCCAGCTTTTCCACTTCCTCTCTGTAGTGCGTTTCATCACTGTTGCTGATGAGACCTACCACCGTTGTGTCATCCGCGAACTTGATGATGTGGTTGGAGCTGAACTTGGCAGTGCAGTCGTGGGTCAGCAGCGTGAAGAGCAGCGGGCTGAGCACACAGCCTTGTGGGGCACCTGTGCTCAGTGTGGTAGTGCTCGAGGTGTTGTGGCCGACACGGACTGACTGAGGTCTTCCAGATAGAAAGTCCAGGATCCAATTACAGAGGGAATTGCTAAGGCCCAGCAGGTTTAGTTTATTGATGAGCTGTTGTGGGATTATTGTGTTGAATGCTGAGCTGAAGTCGATGAACAGCATTCTAACATAGGAGTCTTTATTTTCTAGGTGGGTAAGAGCCAGGTGGAGGGTGGAGGAAATTGCATCGTCTGTAGAGCGGTTTGGACGGTATGCAAACTGGAGCGGATCGAGTGTGTTGGGGAGGCTGGTTTTGATGTTGTGCATGACTGACCTCTCAAAGCACTTCATCATGATTGGACTCAATGCTATGGGACGGTAGTCGTTTAGACAGGACACAGGTGATTCCTTTGGTACCGGTATGATTGTTGTGGATTTGAGACATGTGGGGACGACTGCCTGGCTCAGCGAGGTGTTGAAGATATCTGTTAGGACATCTGTCAGCTGTGCAGCACAGTCTCTCAGTACACGGCCAGGTATGTCGTCAGGACCCGCAGCCTTGCGTGGGTTAATCCTAGATAGGGTCTTCCTTACGTCAGCTGGAGACAGACAGAGCGCCTGGTCGTTGGGAGGTATGGGCAGTTTTTGTGCAGGTGTGTCATTCTGCATTTCAAACCGTGAATAAAATTGGTTGAGTGTATCCGGGAAGGATGTGTCATTATCACAGTGTCATTTTATGATTCTTTCTATGCAGCAGATGTTTTAATTTATCTGATTAAAACATCAGCAGCAAAAATGGCTTTAGAGTTTGATTCATTTTTCATAAATTATTTCAAACTGCCCAGTTGGTTCAAAATTCAACTGTTCATTTTAGAGCCCGACCGATATGGGTTTTTTGGGCCGATACTGATACCGATATTTGGGAGTAAAAAAAAGCCGATATACTTTGTGTATAATATAGTACAGTACCAGTCAAAAGTTTGGACACTACTGAACAGTAAAGTTGAAGTTTATTCAACTTTAATTCAATTCAATTCCATTCAACTTTATTCCGTTGAAGTTTATTTCACTTTGGAACATTCATTCACGGATTTGCGCTACTGTCTTCACACACAGACGGAACTTACTAGAGAAGTGTGAAGTGTGACATAATTTACCTCATAATTTAATGCCCTTTGAATGCAACGTGTACGTTCCCTTGGAACTGGAATCATGGCGGAATATCATGTGAAGTCCACTTCGCGGGGCACTTACGGTCGACGCTTGGATGCTGCTGCCTGAACCCTTACTGAAGTGAAAGTGTTGGCTGGTGTCACTATCTCGCGAACGCGCCGGCGGATCTCCACCAAATTCGGGGGATCCCTTCAGCTCGAGGAGCCCTCTCGAACGCCACCCTCCACGCGTCGGTAGCCCCCCGGGATCGCTAGATCGGTTGGCGACGGGCCGCGAATTTAACCGCCCGTAACTCCCGAACCCCAGAGGCTATCGACGCGGGGGTGGTCTCATTCGAAAGAGGGCCTCGAGACGTACACTCGATTCGCGTTTGAGAGGGTTCGTCGAGCTGAAGGGATCCCCCGAATTTGGTGCGGATCCGCCTCGCCGTTACGGAGATATGGCCGTTCAAAATTTCAATGGTTTTCCATAGACTTAAGCTTTAAAGCATTTCATCCAAGTCACCAGTAGCAAACAATGGAGCGCGCTCTGCTGGACAAGTAATTACACCATTTCAAGCATTTTATCTGCATTATATGCTCTGTAAAAAAAAATTTAATATCGGCGGCATATTCGCCGATACCGATATATCAGCGTCAGGCTCATATCGGCCGATAATATCAGCTAAACGATATATCGGTCGGGCTCTAGTTCATTTGCATCATCCCTCAAAAATGTTCTTGGAAGTTTCTGTGTAGCATTTATTTATGTACAAAATGTTTTGGTAAAAATATGAATAGGGAAATGTTGTTAAGTTCTGTGCATTTTTGTTGTGGAGTATATAAATAATTTGGCAAAATAAAATATTTCCTTCTTTTTAATTTAGTGAAAAGTTTGGAAAAAAATGCTCTGATCATTTAAGATTTTATAGTTTTACTGTATTTTACTTATAATAAACCTTTAAAATATAACTTCACAAAAATAAATGTTTTACATTTTCCTCAGTGAAAAAAGACAAAAAAACAAGTCAATTCAAAGTGAAAATATGATGACTTGTCCAGTTGACTCAAGTCTTTGCATTTACATTATCCCTCAAAAATATTCTTGGAATTGTCTGTGTGGCAATTTTGCTAAATGTGTTTTTTTCCTTCTTTTTAATTTTGTGAAAACATGGAAAACATGCTTTGATTATTTAAGATTTTATAGTTTTACTGTAAATATCAATAATATTTTACCTATATTTATTGAAACGGTATATAAAGTGTTTTCATTCTCTAAAGGGAGACAGTCCAAAGGCTAGAGTGGCAATCAGAAATGTGCTCACATACTTATTACTACCATCGTAAGCAGAACGAGCTTTTTTAAACAAGGAAGACAAACTTTTCAATGTGGTTAGTGAGGTTTCTGTGGCACTAAATGTCCTAAATGTCTTTTAGCATACTCACTGCCTGTCCAGGCTGCATGACTGACTGCTGCATCTGTAGGTGGAGCCCTGACTGCATCTGCTGAAGCTGTGCCTGCAGCTGCGCATGTGGGTTGACTGGAGCCAGCACGGCCCCGGCACCCTGCACCTTCACCTGGAGCTGACCACCAGCCACCAGGGCCTGCTGATCCACCACCATGGCCTGGCCCTGGGACAGGGAGAGAGGCAGGCCAGCCATAGGGAGCCCACCCTGGGGGAGGCGGCCTGGAAGCTGTGGGGGTGGCGTGTGGAGGCTGGCGGCATTCTGGACAGGGGGACCTTTGGACGGGTCGTACTGCTGCTGGTTCTGTTTCTGCCCACCAATCTGGACTGTTTGTGGGGTCGGGGGCATGCCTCCTGTTATGGGGGGCAAGATGAAGGAAACAGAGCAGAGAGAGGAAAGAGAAGAGAGAAAGATAGAGGGATATGGAGGGCAAGGAAGAGTTCCATAGGAGGAGAAAATGAAGAATTGGAAACACGATATGTTGTTTTACCTTATGTCTGTTTACTGACTGCATTTCAACCAAAATTACACCGTTCTCTGCACCTTTTTTTTTTTTGTAAATATTTTTTTATAAACACCTCGAAAGCCCATACTGAAAATTCAAAATGTTGTATTTGACACTTTATATAAAACTTGATACCTAAAGTCATTTTAATTGTTTTTAAATATAAAGTGAAAAGAACATGTCTGAGTCAATTTGCAATTTGTTGATTTTTATATAAAAAAACAATTACAGAATTTTAAATAAATCACTTTAATACAGTATAGTAATTAAGAGGTTTCATTGTCATGAAATTAGTGTTGCAACTTTTATGGATCTAGAAATCTATTATGATTGCAGGGTGCAGTAGAACTTAGACATGATTTTACCCATTTGTGTATTTCAACTAAACTTCTTTTGATTTTATGGGTATGATGTTATGAATCACCAGCAATGTGCTACACAATGCTGGAGAAAAGGGAATATTAATGAAAACTACTGTTCATGTCACAATGACTACATAACAAAAATCAAGGAAGATTTACATGTTCTAATGAATGAAAATTAGAACTCGTAAATGTGAAAATCTAAATATTTCGTTCAATGCTTAAGAATACTACTATGAAGAACAAAGTAATCATGCATTACCATTGAACTATCCATAAGTGGAAAAGACTAGATATAAAAAGAAACAAATCAAGGAAACAAAACAAAACAAAAACAGGAGAAGAACTCAAAAGAAAAAAAAGGCACAGAAAGGTAATGGACACGACTGAAGCACTAACACACTTCATGAACATGCATAAAGCAGATAATGTCTGGAACATCTGCGTTAATACTCAAGCCATACAACAACAAAGCAAAGGGTATAAGCAGAGGAATGACAATGGAAGTTTAGCACAGAAGAAGGTAAAGCCCAGCTGTAAACACTAAGTATCTCCCTCTTTTAGCATTTCATCATGAGCTAAATTACCAAATACTTCAATTTGTCAACTCCGAAGCTTTCGGAGATTAACCTGCTTGTTTATAAGACCTCTCCTGAGCGTCACTTTTTGCTCCTCACCATCAGGTCATGAAGGAATGTTATGGAAACCGAAGATGAAGATGGGAACTGAAAATATGGTGACGATAAAACAAAGAGAAATGAAAATAACTCGCTACATGAAGGGAACCAAGACTGAAAGTGCATTTAGGTTCCAAGTTGGCAATACAGTAAATTTAGGGAAGTGAAGGAGGAGCTCTGCAGGATCAGGAGAGGAGATGTCAACTATAAACCGCAGAACTAAATGCAAAACAAGCTCTATGTGAAATCGGACATCCCAGTAGACAGTTTGGGGCGCATCATCCGATGAGCCCTGGATGGAATCAGAGATGCCATTATGGCAAAGAAGAACGTAAACGGATGAGGTGAATGGCTCAAGGAACTAATGGGCAAATCATAAATGAAAAAAATGTGATGTCTTCCGAACTGATCTTCAGCTGTATCTTCTGCCCAGCTGTCCCTCTGATGGTTTGAGAAAGATTTTAAATGAGGGCTAAGTCTGAATGGAGTCCCAATAAGTGGATCAACAACTGGAAGATGATGCTTGGAAAAAAGGTGGGATCAACTTTGGGAACTCTGGAATGAACCCTGACCTCCAGCAGCACTGAATAACAGTCACAAGAGTGGATCTGTCCCGAGACGCAACGACGCTCCTACCTTGCGCTGTAGGCATGAGCTGCTGGAGGGGAATGCCGGGAGATCCTAAAGGAGTTACAGCGGGGTGCTGGAATATCATCCCATGCCGACCCACTTCCATCCGGGACCTCTTAGCCTGATCTGGGATGCAAAACACACAATACCCTCAAAACGCAAAAAAAAAAAAAAACTCCCTCCCAAAAAAATCAGATATAGAACAGGAAAAACCAAAAGAAGGAGAAATAACACTTGAAACATGGCAATGATGTTTGCACACCAGCAGGTAGCTGTTGGGAAGCTCCGCTCCCCGTTTTCTGGATTACAGGCTTCAAACACAGAGCTGGGAAGAGATGCTGGAATACTGAGTAAGCAGAAGCGAATTGGAAGGAGAGGAAAAAAAAGGAAGAATAGCAAACAGAAAAGTAGAAAACAAAAAGGGGAAATAAAGAAGCAAATGAAAACAAAACAGGCTTCCACCTTTGCCCTTTGTCGACGTCGCCCTACCTGCTTGTGCCATGGCCTGCTGCCGCTTGAAAGCTTCCATGTCCACAGGGTTAGAGATGCTGCCACCTGCCACCCCGGCATGGGTCTATGAGATGGAAAACAATCCAAAGTGAGAATCTCATTCACACAGAGCACAAACTGTACTGCTCACCTTAACTAAAATCTTGCCTGATTACGTCTAATGTCACAATTCTGTCAAAACACATAATGAAAGCGCTATCATACTGAATGTTAAAAATCACGTTCCTAGTAAGGAAGCCTCCATCACCTGGAACTGCTGCTGAGCAGAGAACGCTGCAGACACGTTGGGTGGGAGTTGTGTAGCTATAGCAACAGGAGTCACCGTCTGTCCATCCTTTCCAGTCACTACTTTCACCTGAGAGGTTGTCATAGAAACAGATGAGAGATACAAAGCCACAGAAAATACATCTTGATATTTCCAAAAGAAAAAGAGACCAAGAGTTCCCAACAAAGAAAAGTTGTTTTGTGGGTCACAAAGACATGATGATAATTTTTATAATCTGGATCTATTCATTTATTTAAATATATTAATTTCTGAATAAATCATCTTTCTTTTTATGTGATATTTCATGTGATATTTCTATTTCATATAAATGCAATTCTTTTGAACTTTCTACTCATCAATCTAGTGGTCGATCGATATATCGCCAAGGCCGATATATTGGCCGATATTTGGCATTTTTCAAATATCGGCATAGGCTGGTAAGTTTTTCTGTTTGGCCGATGAGTTCGAGGCGAGACTTTTATTTTGAAGGTGCTGCCTGCGCACACAGTTTTCACATTCTCCTTGTTCGCTGTCGTCGTTAACAGTTCTGTCTAATACGGACATAAACCTGTCTAATAATCAGAAAGAACTGTTAAACAAAGGAATTAAAATGTATACAGAAAAAGGATTATAATGATTGCTTTTATGTTATTAGTTATAGAAAGGCAAACATTATAATACTTTCTCGTTTGCAGTCAGCATTCAGCAAATACGCATTTATATCATTTAAACAAATCTTTGAATGACTAATGAACATTTAATTAAAAAAATCTTGCAAACTTAGTTGGATCCAGCTGTGCTTGCAAACTTAGTCGAATCCAGCTGTGAGATCTTGTGAAGTGTGCATTTGTATCCTGCATGATCGCGTGTTCTCTGCATGACGGTCGGTCCGTGCGAATTGAATGCTGAGAGGAGGAGAGTTCAGCTTCACTGGAGACACGCGATCGACAAACTTAAAACTCATGATTTCTAATTATGCTGTGCTTCATGCTTTTGCCCACTGTCATATTCATGTCACTTTCACTGTGTGCTGTATGTAAAATGAGTGCTACCTTGGCTTTATTTGAAAAAATATGATTCGAAATCGTGCAGAATATGAATGCACACAAACTTCCCAGATTACTGAGTGCCCTGTTGGTTACACTGTTTACTTCCTTTTTAATTATATTTTTATTAAATATTTATTTGTGAAAAATACTTTGTCATTTAAAGTATAAATATGTTTATTTTACAAATTTATTTTTTTATCCATTTTCAAATGATTTAAAATTTCTTAAATATTAATTAAAATAAAATTATATCGGCTTTATATCGGCCATCGGCCACCCTGCTTTCCAAGATATCGGCATCGGCTGTCAAAAAACCCATATCGGTCAACCACTACATCAATCCTCAAAAATATTTATCAAAAGAATCCTCAAAAAATGTATCACAGTTTCCACAAAAATATGAAGCAGCACAACTGTTTTCAACACTGATAATAAGAAATGTGACACTGAAGACAGGGTAACTTTGTAACTTTGCCATAATTGAAAATATATTGTAGGTAAGAGCCAAGCGCATTTTTTTTACCTCATCATTGATGACCTCAGACTGCTCTTCCTCCTCCTCTTCATCTTCAAGGTCAAGATCATTTTGCCTCAGGTAGGTGAAGAGAGGCACACAAGGCTTTTTCTTGAAAGCAAGGTAGTCCATCATGTTCCCTTGCAGATGCTGCAGGAAAAAGAGCTCAATCAGGTACTCCTTAAACACCTCCTTCAGACTCTCCATCTTCTTTGCATGATGCTCCAGACACTGCTTCCTCAACTGTGCCACTTCTGGATTTGAGGGCGCAATCTCCTCCAGCTTCTTCGGCTGCATCTTCTTTATGCTGGTGGGGGTCAGGGACTGGTTGGCGAGGCCTTGGGGAGGGTTGCTCCTGGATGGGCTGGATGGAAGGATTGCAGATGGGACCCCAAAAGAGGCCGGGGCCGCCACAACGCCTTGCGCGGTCTTTTCAAAAATCATGGGACGCGCTAACTGGCCTTGGATGATGCTACTGATCTGAGGAGGCAGATTGGAGGTGGTGATGTGCCCAGGGCTGCCCAATGTCGGGAGAGCAGCCCCTGCAGCAACAGGGCTCTGCGGCCCCAAATGGTGAATGGTGCCCCCGGTTTGAGAGTGCGGCTGGGACAGGCGTCTTTCTCTGACAGCCCCTGATGTCCCAGGTGAGGTTAGCTGAACGGCTCCAGCTGTTGTTGGAGCCAGCTGAGCCAATCCTGTTCCATCCTGGTACACAAAATGACTACTTACAGGTGGGCTGCCCAAGTTGATTTGCCTAACCATTATACCTGCCTCCACAAACCTTGTCGGGCTCTGACCGCACACTCCTAGAGCCGACCCAGGAGCGCTCGGCCTGGGCACAGCCTGTATGGGGACCGGACTGTGCTGGGTCGGACTTTGAGGCTGCATTGTTTGGGGCAAGGGTGATGTCACCACATAAGATGAAGACCCGGACTCGAACCTCCACTGCTGAGGCTGAAAGCCAGGGGATGCTGGGCTCTGGAGAGGAAGAGAGGCAAGGGTAATTTGCTGGTTCCCAGAAACCATTGGTCCCACGTTCTGTAAAGTGATGTTCATATTCTGGCCTGTGACCGGACTCCGACTCATAATGATTTGATAATTGGGAGACTGTGGTGCAGAGGGACTGGCAGACGGAGCAAAAGATGTCACCGGTGACTGGGGGTGATTGGCATTTGCCGGCTGTTGCTGGGTAGCCGGCATGGGCTGCTGATGTTGCTGTTGTTTTTGGGGCTGCTGTGGTTGTTGGTCTTCCGCCTCAGATCCAGTGAAGGACTTGGATCTCTGAAGGTTCCTCTGCACATTTGGTGGGCCTCCTCCATGGTGCATTGCGTGCCACTTCAATTGTATTAAAAGACACTCTGTGGGGAGACAACAGTGCAATGTTTCTACCATAAAAATATATTTCGGTTGGATAAAGATATCGAAATTCATACTAAACCTCAATGGAAAAAGTCATTAATAATTTGTAGAGACAGACCAATATATTGCTCAGGCCAATTAAAGGAATAGTTCACACAAAATGAATATTCTGCCATCATTTACCTACCCTTATGTAATTCCAAACCTGAATAACCCTCTCTGTCCCTCCACAGAAAGTCAATTGCTCCAAAACATTCTTTAAATATGGTAAACAGAAGCTCAAATGTGCTTACCTAGGGCTGCATGATTAATCAAAATTAAATCGCAAAGGCGATAAATCGCGATTAGGCAGAAAAAGAGGCCAAAACTACAATATCAGAAAGACAGAGTTAGGCCTGCACAATAAATCAAAATGGAATCGAGATTGCGATTCGACAGAAGCTGCGATTGTCATGCGTATCTTTCAGTGAAGCACGGTTCTGTGATCAGCAGTAAATCTCCATCCGAAAGCCAGAGGGCGCTCTCGCGCTGAAACTCCAAATACGCCTCGCAGAAGAAACCCAGGAAATCCCTATAGCGTTGCTGTTGCTGAATAAACAGAAGATTTAACTGCTTTCATTAATTCAACGTGACTAATAAACACACGACTACAACAATATATGGTTTATCGGAGTTCATCTTATTATAATTTTTTATTATAATCCTTTAAGGCCTTATAAGTGATAAGCCTTTATCACTGCTTAGAATACTATGAAATATGTTGCGTGACTTATTCTGTGTAAGAAGCCACATCATCTCACAGAAGGATTTATTTCAAACACTCGACTGACGTTATGAAGTGAGTTTGGAGTAAAAACATGTTATTAAATGTGGTATTTTCACGTGCTTTCAGATGGAGCAGCATTTACTACACAGAGCCGTAGTTCACTGACAAGCTACGCAAACAGTTTTCATTATCGCGAACGATTTCTTCGATTTCATAATCGCGCGATAAAATCGTCTGTGATTATGAACACGATTTTGCATAGCTTGTCAGTGAACTACGGCTCTGTGTAGTAAATGCTGCTCCATCTGAAAGCACGTGCTGGAGATTTACTACTAATCACAGAACCGGCTTTACTGACAAGATGCGCATGAGAATAGCATTCGATTAATCGTGCAGCCCTATGCTTACCTTATGCCCAATAACCAATGACGTTTGTTCTCACGTCATGCAAGCCTGTTTGAGCTTCTGTTTACCAATTTTGATGTGCATTGATCAATGTTTATATGTGAATAAAAGCCGTAGGTAGATCTGTTCATCATTATAAAGTGATTGTCTCTCTTCAGATTCATATGGATTACTTGTACAATGTCTTTATGAACTTTTTGATGGATGAAAGGTTTGGTGGAACTGTATTTCGAAGAACACAAAAATTCATATAGGTTGAACGACACGAGTCATTATGTGTGAAGTAACGACAGAATAAAATTTTTGGGAGAACTATCCCTATAATAGACCAATAATTAGTCATTCTAAGATTTTAGGGCTGGGCAAAAAAAAATTGATTTTTCATTTAATATTTTTTTTAAATGACGTCGATTCGATATCACTTCTCACAAAGCCGCGAATCGATCTTTTCCGGTATTTATTTCAGCACACATTTAAAACAATATCTGATTAACGTGAATCTTATCATTAGTCTTCTCCACTAGATGTCACCCTTATTTACCTTGCGCGATGTTACAACAGAAAGCCTGTCATTCATTCAGCGCTTATCATGCCATTCGCGTGATTCGCAATGCTCAGGTGAAATGCTATAGTAATACTATAAATCTGCGGAAGCATTTGATATCACGCATAAGGCGCCATGATTTCCGCAATGAATGAATGGCGGATGGTGCGGCGCACTGTTTTGTTTACTACACACATACTAAAGTGCGGATGACGCTCGTGGTGTTTTCAGCTTCTGCCATCTCACTATATGATGATATGAACACGAATGTCATCTCCAGCTGCTCTGAGAGTCACTTCATTAGCATTTAACCTTTTCATTTGAGAAAACTACCGTCATATCACATACACAGCAGCTGCAAGTTCTTCACGGCAACCCGTCAAAATAAAAGTTTAGTTTAACGTTAAGAAACTGAAAACAGAATATATTACTATTTAGCAGTCTTAAGACACAATGCTACTACTGCTAATAAATAACAATAAATCTTTATTTTTAAAGGAATAATCACATCTGTTTTCTTTTTTGTAAACTGATGTTTATGGTTCATTTTTTAGAAATATCAATAGCATTTGTATTAAAACTATATTCACTAAATGTAATCAAAAAATCGAGAATCGAATCGAAAGCTTGCGAATGGAAATCGAATCGAATCGTGACATCTGAATCGATACCCAGCCCTATAAGATTTTCATCCTCATATAATGACCTTATTAATAGATAGTAAACAATTTCTTGTCTATATACTGATTACCCTGATGTCTAAATATCAGTATCAGCTATTGAAAATAATTATTTTCATCTACTAAATCTATCACTCATCCAAGGCGATTTACAAGGACAAGGGTTTGAATGTAGAAACTACGTGTGTGTGTGTGTGTGTGTGTGTGTGTATATATATATATATATATATATATATATATATATATATACAT